ATAAATACTTCGACCGTAGCTCGGTGTTTCTGCTGGGACTCTGTATCCTTCTTAACCCGGTTTGGCCCAGGAAAGTGAAAGGCAGGGTTGAGGCACGCCTCCAAAATGATCTACTTTGAATCGATAGGGTAGCTAAAAAAAAACAAAAAAAACCCCAGCACTGAATTGCATATAGCTGTGTGTACTTGGAGGACATTGTCATGATGTCATCTATTAAAGAAGTCCAGTGCTGACCTCTGAACATAGCAACGGATGGTTGGCGGGTGCTCTGTTGTGGTTTGCTCCTTACTTCGTATCAAAGATATAATAATATTGTTCTGAGCTCTCCTCCTTTTGCTTGTGTTTGTTACTCTCATGTAACAACACCTCTAATCTAAGGTACTTATAATATAACCTTATTGTGTTGCAAGTGCCGTGACCCTCTTTCTAAAACTAAACATAACCACATGCCGCCATGGTTCCTAGACATTGGTATTTTAAAAAAGAATTGTAGTAAATGTTTCACACCCTCAGTCAATTACATGTAAGTGGTGGGCTGCTTAGGTCTTGCATGTCAGGGTCAAACAGAGCTGAATTGGATACAGTAGCCCAGCAGAAAGACTGATCGAGATGCTCGATAAAATACGACAGACTTCCATAATTTGCCGTAATCGAACTAATTTATTTTGTGTGCAGCGGCGAAGGGCCGAACTCATTATCCCACCATAGACACAGGTCAAATCTTTAAGGACGTAGGCGAACACATGATATGTCCGATCAGAAGCAGACCAACAGCAATGTGGCAAGATATTCCACACCACCATACACAAATAAGAAACACGAATGTACGTATAATTATTTCATAGACTCAATAGTAGGCATGTTATTGCCTGTATTTTAAAGTTTCAGTTGAAGAAAACATAACTGAATTTTTTTTATGTGTAACAAAGTTGTGGTTCTTTAAAAAAAAAATTGACGCAAAACAGCACGACGCCTTCAAGTGTTGTCGAATGACCAGAATGCACCTCCTCCATGAGCTAAGTGCGCGGGAGTGAGGGCGAGGACTTTGCGCTCACATGTAAAGCACTTATATAGTAGATAATTAGTCAGCAAGAATTAAGTTCTTGGTGGTATGACCTCCAGCAAACTCTAGAGTGTGCAAGCAGGGTACTTAATGTTGTACTGTCATGACGTCATTTGTTAACTCTTAAAGGGCTGAAATCTTCTTCTTCTTCTTCTTCTTCTTCTTCTTCTTCTTCTTCTTCTTCTTCTTC